CACCCGCCTAAATGGTGTCACCCGGTGCGGTCCGCACCCCCCGCCCCCTCCCCCCTCGCTACGCCTCTGGCTATATGGCTCAGAGACCTATACTATTAAGTCAATTAACAACACACGAGTTCATCAAATCCTTTGACAAATCTTACAGATGAGATGGAAGACAAAATGATCAACGAAGACCTGTGATAAACGATAAAACAAAAGTCGATATACAAAGCTTGCATACTGAAGGATCGGAGAAGCCAGATGAAGGGAAGGGGTCGGCATCGTGAGGCTAGCATTTGAATGGATCCCCAGGGTGAAAAAGTTTTAAGCTGGTCTAAGCAATCAAGGAAAAGGACTGTGGAAGATGGAGCTATTCGAGGGGTTTAGAGTATTTAGTAAAGTCTCTGTGGTTCTATAGAAATACGATGAAATGCATGAAAGAAAACGGCGATGGATCGGACACTATCAGAAAAAGAAAGAAACAGAAATAGTATATAATGATGACGAGGATGATAAGCAATGACAAATGCTGTCGTTTAGTTCCTCGTTAAAAACTAAATCTTTATAGGCAAATAAGAGAAATTCCCCCACCGCAGGGGTTCTATTTTTTCTTACAGGAGTAGCTACTACATGAAATAAAGCACTGTTGAGATCTAAGGATAGAAACATGGATGCAGTTTGGCTGTCCTGTACGACCTTACTGGAGGGGTGAAAATAAACCTCAAGTTAATACAGTGTTTTGTATTCATATACATTTGAAAAAGCTGTCAACATCAGGTAAAACTTCGTGGGACCATAGATAGTTTATTCACTTTAATTGAAAGAACCATTAGGGGTCATCCATAAATGACGTGACGCTTTTTTTAACGATTTTTCATTCTTCCCCCCCCCTCCCCCTCCGTCACACAGTGTCACAAAAAGACAACACCCCCCACCCCTAAAATGACGTCACACCTCAGCCTACAACCCCCCCCCCCCCTCAAAATTGCTGTTGAATTTCTCTTAAAATACGATATTTTTTCCAACATCTTGTCTGAACTCTGTCAACAAAAAGTATTTTAATCAATTCCTATTACAATTTATTAAAACTATTTTTTAAACGCGAAATAACGGCAAAAATTCGTTTTCTAGCATTGCTTTTTATAATGCAAAATTTTAACGTCACACCATCTGAACCCCCCCCCCCCTCCCTCCCCCTCATCACACACCGTGGCAAAACTACGGACCCCCCCTCCCCCTACGAGTATGCCGTCATTTATGGACGACCACTTTGGCCTATTTCGCAAAAAGCGCATAAAAATAAGAGTTATAACGCCGATGAAATATTATGTGTAAACAAGTATTTTGTACCTGCTTGAAAAAGACGACAATATTTAAAATGTTCCCCACTGATCCAAGTGCCCCGACCAGAAAACAAGCGGAAGTTACGAACACGAACTCCACCATTTGTTTCTCGTAGGTGCTGATGTATTCTGGTAGTTTAGCAAGCACTTCCGGCTCTAGAGTCTTGTTGGCCATTTGATTGGTTGACTAAATTAGAGCTGGAACATCTATATTTTTATTGCAGGCTAGTTTTAGCAGATAAACCTACAACAACCACAATATTTAATTAGGGGTAGTTAAAGCGGTTGTAGCTAAGCACTGATCACATTTTTTTATCTTAGTAATGAACGTTGTATTTGAAACAAAAGAAATAACAGTTTTAAAGATTGTAATTGTGGTTATAGTAAAAGTCAGTCTAATAATTTACAGATATTTGTTATAGTGTTTATAGCTACTCATGCATAACATGTATTTGGAGCTGGTTATTGGGGCTATCGCTAAGAAATGATCATATCCGCCAACTATAGAGGAAATACGCAACGTAGGCCTACTTAGATTATCTCATATCCGATCGCTATATTTAGCTTTTATTTATACGCATACATAATTTTAACGGAAATGTTTTTTTTTCGCGTAAATCTCACATCCTGTCCAGAATATAAAACGGAAAAGGATAAATATATCCCCAACATGATGTAAAGATGATCTAAGAACGTTTTGTATGACCTCTATCGTTCAGCGAAATAAGCACTACCCTATCACTAAATTTCTACTACTTGTTTAGGCTTTATTGTTGTATGTACACGTAGCGTAGCCATTACATTTTTATTAGATATTTGTTATACAGAGATCGAGAAATGTGGTTAATTTAATCCGATAGTTACCTACTTGAGCTGTTAGATATAGGCCTACAGTGTATAAAACTTACTATAATACTTTCTGTTTAAATAGTCCTAGGGAAAATGGTATGTATATTGTAGATAAAATTTGCTAGTTTTACATGTTTTAACTGATACTTTAGGCGAGCTTCGTTTGTTAAAACTAAATATAGATTTTAAAAAATACCTGTAAATTATTGTAATATCTACATGAAATCTATAGAATCAGACAAGTATTCAGGCCTACTAGTTCTGTACTGATTTGTTTATAAGTTTTACACAGTCATGATTAAATAAACAGTCACGGTTGGGTTTTTTTACTACGCCGTATGTGGTTACTGAATAAAAGCGTAGTGTGGTAGCCTATGCTTTTACAGACCCAATATATATTTTTAATTATTTTACTATTTATATAATGGTACTTTGATAAAATAAAATATTAAAACTGCGAAACATTAAAATTGTATTGCTATAGAATTACTGTTTAAGCTTTGGTGGCGAGCACTATTCTATTTCTAAAGGATGTGTGTATTATTTAGAAGGCCATCGCTTTGGTATCTATCGAGTTGTTTTTTGTAATGTCAACAGTGACTAATCATCTCGACAAGGCATCAATTAAATGTAACAGTACCGAGGTGTATCGATATTTTAATAGTCAACTTGTATTTTTGCTAAAATATCTAGCGCGAGCAAATTATAAGCCGACATCCTCTTGTCTACCACATAATTTTACGACGTACCGAACACAAATCTAAATTGTATGCTTTTAAATCTTTTTTTCTTTGTCTTCAATCAATTCACGGTTGGGTCAAATTTTTAAAAATGACACTTCTCGAATCACAAAAACGTAGAAAAAAAATTGCTGGTTTCATTCTAACATGTTATTACTTTACGGTCATACTTTTCAAAGAATAATCTATTACAATATAATTTATGGGTGTGGTTGTAAATAAGAAAGTGTGTGTATAGCTAGTTTAGATTGAGTCAGTGTTTAGTTGTGGCCTGTACGCTTAGTAGCAGCCGGAAACTGGATAATGTAGTGGGGTGGTTTATATACTAATACTCTTTTCGTGTATATAAGGGGACAGTGTGGTCGACTAGCTCTTGACCGCTATCCCGAAGGCCTCGAGTTTGGATCTTGGCTCGTGACTGCGTCCATCCAGCTCAGACGAGTACCTGACTCACTTTAGGGAAACATATGTGGCTGGGTATAGTACTGACAACACTATCCCTTCATAATTATGCCGAGGTCTCTGAAACAGATGAACTCTACTTCATCTGGCCCGTATGTCATGGGCACGAACACGAAAGATAATGATGCTGTACACTAAGGGATCGACTTTCGTCTCTTTAAAGCATGTAGAAATCTTCCGGTGTAAAATACAATAACTGACACGGTTCCAAGTTTCATATGTTATTGTTTATTTACTATACATACAAATTAATATCAACTTGCGCCTAATTCTAAATCCGTCATCAACACCGTACTGAATTTTCAATTGATTTAACTAAGTTTCCCCGATGTACTTAAGTAGGCCCTTATGTTTTCACATGTGTTCTTGCCCAGTAAATACATTTTTCATATGTCGTCGTGATGCAAAACACTGTTTAAAACATCTGACCATCTCGAAGTTGTGTAAAATTTTTACTTTTTGTACATTTATTTAGATATTTCTTTCGTATATTTGCACAGGGTTTCACAAACAGTCTATTTAAGATTATGGTAATTTGTGTAAGAAAGACCTGACGTAATGTAAACTTTTTACTATTGACTTAAAATTGATAGAATACTAATTTTAAAAGCTCGGGGGGGGGGGGGGGCGGAGAGAGCAGTGTTTCTTCCAGACTTTTTTCTCCGGGGGGGGGCACTTGAAATTTTCGGGGGGGGGGGGGGGGGGTAGACTGTTAAAAGTATATATTTTCTATATAAATTATATAAATTTCATTTCGTTCGGGGGAGATGCCTGGAAGAAACTCTGGGAGAGAGAGAGAGACTGTATACCGCAGGATCTTGGAATAGTCCACCTTGATAATTACATCGTTGTTACGTGACTGTTCATTCTGTTGTGGCTTGTTCTTAAATTATGAGTTCTATCTGACGTTGATTTGCATTAGGAGTCGTTTTTCATGTATTATTTATTTAACCATTCTCTAATATGAATTTAATCTGTAGGCCTTACAGCTTTAGATGGGGTAATTTTTCTTGTGTTCTGATGTAAGTCATTAATATTGTTGCGCCTTTAGGAAACCTTAATTTATTAGTAGAAATTTCTTTATTAATGCTTTGTTTTGTAAATAATTTTTTTTTTATTTGATTCATGAATCGATCTTCTGTAGGCTATTTTAGATACTTTGTTTTTTAATTGTCATCCTTAAATTACATCACACTCATGACTCATTGTTGGGAAAGGGGGGGGGGGGGGTGCTGGGGCCTTCATAATTTTGCGATGAGGGGAACAGAGGGTGGGGGGGGGCGGAGTTCAGATAGCGCGACGTCACACTTTTGCATTTTAAAAAATGTACAAATATAAACTAGAGAAGAGATGCCTGAAAGAAACTCTGGACATTAGATTTGTTGTTTTTAATACTTTTGGTAAGTTAAATTTGAAGAGAAAAAGTACAAATATTTTTTCCTGAGTCATTGTTCTAAATTTAACGTGATGTAGATCTAGTAAGGTCGTGCTAATGTTTAAAAAAATTATTGGAAATTACCGAAAATGCGCGCCAAGCTTAAGCTGCACCATTACACCGACAAGCACGATTTTTTATTATATTGAACGGAGTCGACTCAGTAGAGAAATGTAGATCTATGTAGGCCTACTTAGATCTTTGAGCTAAAATACTCTGAAACTTTGATAGGGTGATAAAAACGTCTGTTGCGTATTTTAATACCATTGAAGCTTTGCCTTACAGGTCAGAATATATTTTATAAATCGCTGCTTTGGCACATTTTATGGAATGTATTCTTATTTAATTTCTAGATCTAGATCTAGATCTAGATCTAGACCTTTTATTAAATTATTTAATTCGTTGCGGAACCCCAGGTCCCTTTACTCAAGGCAAATGTCATTAATACTCAATAATAGTTGCTTCCCTTCACAAGAAATTGATAAATCTACAAAATCGATTCAGTAGGCCTACCACTCACTGAATGTCAAACTAAATTTATTATGTTTTGTTGATCTAGAATCTAGAAATCTAGATCTAATTGATTTTATGATTTTAAGGATTTCAGATTTATTTTGGAGAACTGTAACAAAGTTTTTTTTGTCTATAGTAGTCTATACTTACTACCAAATTTCACAAATTTATTTTTTAGGCCTAGATCTAGATCTAGATCTAGATCTAGATCTAGATCTAAATTTTTTTTAAATTCCTGAAACCTACGGAATCGATCATGAATAATAATAATGCTATAGATTTTCTAGATCTATAGATCTAATCATGATTCAATAGCTAATTTTTAACTTGTGTAAAGTTAAAACAGTCAATGGATATACTTTGTTAATTGATAATTGTTACTCTTGGGAATGTCACTTTCAATGATTGAATGTGATGTTCAGATGTAGAATCTAGATTTGATTGTAGATCTAGATCTAGAGACACAGTATTCTAGAGTCTAGATTTATCTAGATCTAGAAAATCTAGTTGTAGCCCCCCTCATATTTTTTTTATTTTCTAGACTTAATCTCAATCTGAAATAATAACTGTAACTCTACACTTATAAATTATTAAGTTATTGCACTTCACTGGTCTACCTAGCTAGATCTAGCTACTATAGCTAGATATTAGTATTAGATCTAGTCAACTAGTAACTAGTCTGTGTAATTTGTAATGACAGTTAATTATTACTATAGTTAACTATAGGCCAGGCTTATCGAATATAATTGCAGGCCTATAGTATATGTAAATAGACAAAATTGTGACTTTTAGCCCCACCTTCCCCTAGATTTGTCGTCTAAGAATTAGTTCTAGATCTAGAGTCTACATTAGTTTAGATTTTAATCTTGGTCTAGCTCAAATTCATAAACAACAATTGACAAATGTATTACATGAATCAAATAAGAATGACTATTTTTCATATTAATATATATATATATATATATATATATATATAATTTAGTTAACTAGGATATAATTTTTTGTTTATTGTTTAATCTTGCAATAATTTTAAGGTCTATTATTCTTTTTTAAAAAAGACACATTTAAACATCCTAGTATATACTAGAATAGTATTTATGTAAATTCTAGTAAAGAAATAAATGATGCCTTTTATGAGACATAACTTTCAAAAAACCATAGAAACATAAACTAAGATTTTCCGATTACATAAACATAGGTGCTTTGACCAAGGACGGATAAAAGAATCAATCACAATAATTAAAAAACACAATTTTGATAAAGTAAGGCAATTTAAAATTTATTTCAGATGATAAGATATTACTTAACATTATACTTAATATCTAAAAATATATTGTCGAGGTCACTTGTTTTACTTTGAAGTTAAATATAATGTTAACTGCTGCAATAAAATGAGACAATATGACATGATATAAAAATAGTTATCTTATAAAATGAGGCAATTTGCTTGTTTAGTTTAACAACCCAACATACACAAATTATTATATAACAGCTTTATGAATAAATAGTTGATATGAAATTTCGATGATTAATTAGAATGTTCAGAATAACAGTATCAATTTGTAATCACCGTGTCCACTACATCAGTCTTTACTGTGTCCATTGTATCAGCAATCACATTGTCCAATGTACCAGTCACCATTGTATCAGCAATCACATTGTCCACTGTACTAGTCACCATTGTATCACCAATCACAATGTCCACTGTACCAGTCACCATTGTATCAGCAATCACATTGTCCACTGTACTAGTCACCATTGTATCACCAATCACAATGTCCACTGTACCAGTCACCATTGTATCAGCAATCACATTGTCCACTGTACTAGTCACCATTGTATCACCAATCACAATGTCCACTGTACCAGTCACCATTGTATCACCAATCACAATGTCCACTGTACTAGTCACCATTGTATCAGTTATCACTGTCGACTGTATCAGGTTTTACTATGGCAGTTATATCAGCAGCTGTAAATGTTTTGTCTCCTAAGCATTCTCAGTTAGTCATTACTGTATCCACTGTATCAGTTAGTCATTACTGTGTCCACTGTATCAGTTATCACTGTGTCCACTATATCAGTAGAAGTCAATGTCTTGTTTTTTAAATTTTATGAAAACAAATTTCAAACATTCCACAGATATCTATCTAATTCAGCATTGCAGAGTGGCATTTTGAAAACTTTCTTATTTAAAAGCACATTTAAAATACAAACATGGTCGGAATTATCAATAGTAGTCTGGATCTCCTTAATAATACAAGTCAACTTTCTTCCCAGTCATCAAGTTTTCATGAACACCATATCATTTGTACTGCAAGAAAGCCTTACAAATGTGACCACTGTAATAAATGTTTTTCTAGGCTTGGCACATTAAGCATACATCTTAGAATTCATTCAGGAATAAAACCTTATATATGTAATGAATGTGGCAAATGTTTCACACAGACAAATCATTTAAGGAGACATGAACAAATTCATACAGGAGTAAAGACTTTTAATTGTGACAAATGTGGAAAATATTTCAGACAGCAAATCAGTTTACAAAGACACCATAAAGTCCATACAGGAGAAAAACCTTACAAGTGTGGCAAATGTGGTAAGTGTTTTGCAGATAGTGGCTCATTTAAAAGACACCATAGAGTCCATACAGGAGAAAAGCCTTATAAGTGTGACATATGTGGTAAATGTTTCACACGAACTTGTAATTTGCAGAGACACAGAGAAATTCATACAGGCGAAAAGCCTTACATGTGTTATCAGTGTGGTAATTGTTATAACCAGCTTGGCATTTTACAGAGGCACTTAAAAATTCATACAGGAGCAACAGCTTGCAAGTGTGACTTTTGTGGTAAATGTTTCATAAAACTCAACCAATTTAAGAAACACCTTATATTTCATACAAGAGAAAAACTGTACATGTGCAACAAGTGTGGTAAATGTTTTAAATCATGTTACGGATTACAGAGACACCTTACAACTCATGCAGAAGTAAAGCCTTACAAGTGTGACAACTGTAATAAGTGTTTCAAACAGCTCCCTCATTTACAGAGACATTATACAGTCCATACAGGAGAAAAGCCTTACATGTGTAAGAAATGTGGTAAATGTTTTAGAGCAAGTAATTCATTACATAATCACTTTAGAATTCATACAGGAGAAAAGCCTTACATGTGTAAGAAATGTGGTAAATGTTTTAAAGTTATTGGTCACTTGATGAGACACCATAGCAGAATTCACACATGAAAAAAACCTAAGTGTGAACAGTAAAGTAAAGGTTTTAAACAGACACCACCATAAAATTTACACTTGAGAAAAGCCTTATTAGTGGTAAATGGTACTTTCAAAGTACATCACAGAACCACCTCTGAATTCATACAGGAGAAAAGCCTTGCAAATGTGATAGTTATGATAAATATTTTATAATCAGAGACACTTTACTGAAGCACTTTACACACATTGTAAATGTTACACCTTTACATAAGCACCATAGATTTTTTTTTCTTCAGGCCTTTACTATTTATTTAACCATCAAAGAACCTGTGAATAAAATATTTCCTTGAACATCTCTTTCAAATGTGTGTCACTTGTAGTGTAGGATCATCTGGTCTGTTCTGTTTGTATAGTGGATGGCCTGTTTTTATAAAACATTGTTAACATTTTATTTCTTGTTGACTGTTAACATTGAGTTTTAAAATACCTGCCTTTTTTTTTTTTTTTTGATAATTTATTTTTAACTAACAAAGCATGCAGGTATTTGGCACATCCAACCAGTTCTAGTCAAAATAATGAGCTGTTAGTTCATTAAGGCAGAGGAAAATAAGAATCAAAAGTTATATACATACACTATGATAGTACTACTACTAGTATTACTATTACCATACTTTACGTGTTTTTTTTATGAATTGCAAAGAAAAAAATTAATTAAAATATTTATATCTTAATTAAATCTATCAGAAAACTAACAAAGTGTAGTTTACTTTATTTTAAAATCGTGTGGAGTGTTAATACAACAAGCATGCCTGTTTGTTTGTTTTTTAATTGTAAACCTTTCAAAAATGTAATTGACTGAGAATAAACTAGACATTATTTATAAGTTTCTAGAATTAGTGTTATATGCAACTTGTGTATATTTAGAAAATCCCGTTTTTGTAGAGCTACTAGTCTAGATCTTAGATCTAATGTTTATTTGGGTTTATTGTTTGTTTGCTATTTTTATTTCATGTTTTCAATGGGGTTTTTTTTTTAATATTGATTCAATCGTTAATGACGTGATATGTTTAATCTATATCTAAAAAAATAAAAAGATTAAGTTCATTTCACTTGTTCACATCATATATTTTACCTTCACAACAAAAGTTACAATGTCGAAAATTTCTTATTTGTGACTTGGTCGCCTCCCTTGTTGTCATTAATGTCACTATGATAGTGTTTTAGAGACTAGCGTCTCAAGACAGCAAGCTTGTAGAAATTAAAACCACGTGAATGTGTATGGACGAAGGAGGGAAGGGGAGAACTGCTCGACATCATGTTTAGCACCAATATAATTCATCGAATCAAACGTCATTTAATTTAAATCTCAACAATTTTCAATGCGGTAGTGCTTGTTTCTATTTATTTATTTTTAATTACGGTATCTCATTATTTACAATTAGCATAACCAGTGGCGTAGCGAGGTCGGGTGTCACCCGGTGCGGCACTTAATGGTGTCACCCCCTGGGGCGTAGCGACCCTTCCCGGGAACAAACTTTCAAATTTTCGATTTGCACCCCCTCCCCCCTCTCAAGTTTTTCTCTAAATATTTTGCTATTTTTGCCTTGGTGTCACCCCCCTAAACGGTGTCACCCGGTGCGCTCCGCACCCCCCCCCCCCCCCCTCGCTACGCCTCTGAGCCTAACGGTAAATGAGGTTAGTCGCCCTGTGAATTCGGTGAGGGTATGCTAAGTGGAAGATGACGGAGTTTTTAAAAAAAAGTGACACAGCATATGAACGCATTTCTTTAAAACACAATACGAATAACTGATAGATTCTAATTCACTAGATCTTTTAAGAGGGAGTTGGACTTTGAGATCTCACTAAATAGTGGGGTTTTCTTTTTAAATGATTAATGGGGGGGGGGGGGGGTGTCAATATCGATTGTAGGAAAAAAAGTCACAGGAAAAAAAAACACAGGAAAAAAAAAACACAGAAAAAAGTCACAGGAAAAAAGTCACAAATATATATTTGCATGGAATTTGTTAATACTTTTATGTATTAAATATTCAGAGAGTGCAAATTAACTTAGGATTAATTAAATGTAATGTGTGTAGGTTGTATACGCCTAGTAATTTTTATAATTCATCTAAAAATATTTAGTATGAATTATATAGATTGTAATTATGTTAAACATAATATTTATAGCATTTACTAGAATCTCCACGGTTTTCATCGTGTTTTTTTAAATTAAATGGTAAGGTCATCTGAATTACTGCCCTCAACTCATCGCAACAATAGTTATGCTTAGTTCAACCACCTTTACTGCCCACATTTATCACGCTCATTACATAACAAAACTTAGGATCAAAACAGAGAGCCGACAAGGTTCAAAGGCTGTCATTGACACAAAACGTCAACAACACAAAATATGTTCGGACAATGCCTACTGAGGGGAGGCCGACCAGAGAATAGCCTACGGCGAAACATATGCAAAACACGATGATGTGCCTAAATTTCTTATATAGTTAATTTTTCTACCGCGTATTTAACTAAACACGTAACAAGAGTTGAGATTGTTGTGTAAATTATCTTAGAGTATTTTTACTTACAATTTTTATAAACCATAATGCTTTTAACGTCTATAAATAATTTATGTTAACAAAAAATACAACCCACAACAATAAACAAACAAAATTTTACAATTCTTAACAAATAAATCAAAGTATTTCTAAAAAGATTTTTGTGACTTTTTTTCTGTGACTTTATTTCTGTGACTTTTTTTCCGATAAAATTTTTCCATTATGACTTTTTTTCCGTGACTTTTTTTCCTAGCAAAAACTGTGACTTTTTTTCTGTTTTTTTTTCCTGTGACTTTTTTTCCGTTCACTGTCAATATCGACCACTGAAAAAAAATAGAAAAATAATGCAAGTAGGAAGTAAACGAAGCAAAAAAACCACGTAGAATTCAAATGTAACTAATAGTACCTTTTTTATGAATACCAAAACTCGAACTCACAAAAAACGCTATGCTTAAATTAAATAGCCCTTTAATGATATTATACTTTTTTCGATGATTTCACTCTTCTCCAAAAGTCAGCCACACACGCTAAGTTCTCCTGCGCCACCCAGCCCTAAAATCTAAATCATCATTTCTAAAGGAAACGAACGTTCTTCATCATAATTTTTACTCTATAAAAATACATGCTACGTTAAATAATAAATATCTTATTAAGGAATTATTTCTTCTATTTGCAAAATATTGGAATACATAAATATGATCTACTTAAATTCTAAATCTGGATTTCTAGATGATTAAGATCTAGAATCTATATTGAAAACATTAACATTAGTGATTGATATCCTCTCCGGCAAATTACTAGCGCCTGCTGAATTGATTACGCTACAACAAGATTATCCGGTATAACTATAATAATCTACACTACACGCCACGGGTTAACCACAAAAGTTAATGGCGCTTCTGAGCTACACAAATTTCAATTTGTTAACCATACTTTAAACTGCACAGGTAAAAGTTAAGCCTAGCCATCCAAAAATCTAGATAAGTAAGAAAGTGTTGTAGATCTATCTATTTCAAAGTCTAGATCTCTAGATCTAATTCTAGATTTCTAATCTTACTCTACTATCACTACTAGATCTAGTACTAGATCTAGATCTAGAATCTAGATAGATTCTATCTAGATCTAGTTCTTGTATTCTAGATTTAAGATTTTAGAGATAATTATTAATAGATCTAGATCTAGACTCTAGTATTAATTTAATAGTTAAATTAGTAGCATGACATTTATTTGTTTTATTTGTTTTAAATTTTATCCCAAAGCTAGAATCTAAATCTTATAATTAATATAATGGACTTAATGTAGAATGTTGACTAAACAAAGGTGCAAATGGAAGATAACATTAACTTGCATTAAAATATGTTAAGAACACCTTGACTAATTAAATTATCTGTCTAATTTTGTAACAATTTCTCTTATTTATTAATTTTACTATACACAAAGCAACCACATTTGCCTACTCAGGTTCAGCATTAGCCAAATGCAGTGAGTTACTTTCAATTTGTCTCAAAAAATAAATTGAGCACAATATATGCTCTAAATTCATTTTTTTTTTACATAAACATTTGCCTGCTCAAAAAACTATATAAAGAAATAGTTAATAAACCAATTATGTTTCTTATTTTATCAAGTAGCTGTGATTACATTTTACAAATGCAGCCATTTTACCAACACCAGCCATAATTAAAATCTGCTTTTGAAAATAATAGCATACCCAATACTCTGAAACTGGCCTGCTCATACATTTCTGCAAATTTACTTAAAAGAACCACTCCTTTTCATAATTAGAATTTAAAACTTTTGCCATTACATGTTTAAACATTTTCACTCTGACATCAAGCCAAAACAAAAATTTACCATAAATAAAATATGATTTTTGTTTTTTGCTCAAATAGGAAGAAATCTATAAAGTAACTACTAACTGGGGCTTTAGGCTTGAACATTAATATCTAAGCTATATTAATTTTTTAAATTTATTTGTCTGTATCATTAGATCAGAAATTCTGCAATATGTGTAGAATTTTAAAATACATATTTTGGAGTACTTAGACATCTTTATAATTTAAAAAAAAATGACATCAGTTTAATAGCTAAATATAAGGTAGGCCAATTCAAGGTACCTCAAAATTGCAGTGCTTGATCAGAAATTATTACTCTTTTAATTGTGGATTTCTAAGTTATTTAAAAATCTTATATTTGAAATTTAATAAGCTGTTTAAATTGAGGACCATGTTAAGTTTTACAGACACAATGAGTTACATTCCACAACAATTACAATAGTCTGAATCCTAATTATAAATCTCAAAAGCAAACATTTTTCTGGTTTAGTTAGCAACACCATCCATAATTTATAGTCATGTATTTAAATAATGAGATTTTGTGAGATTAAGATTGTTTTTTTTTATTCCACTGAAAGCTGCTTTAGAGAAAGAAGAAAAAGATACACTTTTGTCCCTTAAGCAGCAAGATAGTGATCAGATACATGTCTCAACACATTTCTAAAGAGGAGGACTATCTCTGTAAGTATTTCTTCATTATCATCACTGTCACTGATAGTAATTGTGTACATAATTTATATGCCTGTAATTGTGTAGGACTATAAGATCATTATCCCTGTTTGTTTTTGATAGGTAACTAATTAGATTTTTTTTTTACTTTTTAGTTGAGTCTCTATATTAGATCTTTTATACTTGAGAAGCTGTTTATTCTTGACTCATGACAGCCAGTAGAAGTAAACTGTTTTAGAATAATGTATATAACTTCATTTCCTACATTATTTCACTATTATTCAGCCTTTGGTTTAACTAAAAAAAAAAAAATTAAATCCAAATAAAATCCTAATTTTAGCCTACTTATAACAAAGGGGACAGACTAGTGAAGCACCTGACCACTGACATATTGACTCCCATAGTGGAGCCTCTGACCACTGGCATATTGACTCCCATAGTGGAGCCTCTGACCACTGGCATATTGACTCCCATAGTGAAGCACCTGACCACTGGCATGTTGACTCCCATAGTGAAGCACCTGACCACTGGCATATTGACTCCCATAGTGGAGCCTCTGACCACTGGCATATTGACTCCCATAGTGAGGCACCTGACCACTGGCATATTGACTCCCATAGTGAGGCACCTGACCACTGGCATATTGACTCCCATAGTTGAGCTGATCCTTTAAATGTTTAAAAAAGGCCCCCATGCCTACTCTTGTTACATTTATTGAAAAAAATGAATTGTATCCCATAGACCAAAATACCTGGCAAATGTCATTTTGACTGGACTTGTTAACACTTAGATTTTTAAGATGCTCTTTAGTTCATCCAGTTTTACAGCATTAGACATCTCACTTGATATTTAAAACAACACATGCATATTGACTGTAAATAATCATAACTCAACAAAGATCAATCTTACTTTGTCTATATAATTAATATCATTATTCATCTATTTCTGTTGTTTTTTAAGAAAACATTAGACCCTCCTGAGAGAGGGACATTGAACCAAATACAAAATGTTTACTCATTTAATACTCATTGATGTATTATAGCAAGACAATTATCAGCAGGGGCAATACTTACATTTTAAATAACCAACCTATTGTATGAGGCAGATACTAGGGCATTTGCTGTGCAACTACATCTTACTTGCTGGTTCAGATATTTTACTTTTGTGTTTCAGTTTGTGAAGAGTGCGACATTGAATACATTGGAGAGTGTGCTAAACATGGTCCCCTAAACATTGTATCAGATTCCCAGGTAAAATAGAACAGTCCTACTTTATAACAGTGTCTCAGCCCTGTTAGAAACCTATTAGATCCATCCACAGGCTTAAGGTCGGTGGTACTTTGACTTGTTGATTTTTAGCAGACTAGTGGTATAAAATACAGATGGTATTGTGGATGGCAAGTTAAATGCTAAAACTTTGTATACAATTAAACAGGTTCCCCAAGACTGCATAAGGGGCAAACACAAAGATTACTCTTGGAAAACTTTGCCGCCTGGACTGGTCATAAAAACATCTAACATACCTGGTGCTGGAATTGGTGTCTTTGCCACAACATTAATTCCTGCTCGGACAAAGTTTGGGCCTTATGTTGGAAAGATAGAGAGAAATAAGCTATTGGCTCAGGACTCTGGGTATTGTTGGCAGGTGAGCAGTGTAGTTAAGTACAGGACTCTCTGGTCATTGGAATGGTGTGTGGCGTCCACCTCCGTGTCTGGAGTAATGATTCTACCGGACATCCAGCGGCATGCCTGCACTCAATATAAGACTTACATCACAGCGTTTGTCTTCCTGTCATGTCACTCATGCACCTGCATATAGCTTGTAGCCCTCAACAACCAATGTGTGCTCATAACATTTAATTAAATTTTCGATTTCCCTAAACGGCTCATCCCGAATATCTTAGGTTAACCCCTTGGGTTTTTGTAACTAGCACCTAGTTGCCAAAGCCCCTTTATATTATAGGATACCAGCCCACACAAACAATGGGTAAGCTAGTCCATTATAAAGAGCATTGGTTTTTGTGCAGTGTGTTCAATAGGGCGCAAGTAGATCATGCTTGTAGTTGGGTTTTATCCTACTGTGGCAAGTCTGGAGGGCTCTAGGACTAAATGTTTAATTTGTTAATACAAGAGCCTCATGTTTGTCTGACATCTCCAAGTGTAATAGTATTATAAGCTTCTCCAGATCTTCAAGAATGGGAGACCATCCCATTTTATTGATGCCAGTGATAGCTCTGATTCAAACTGGATGAGATTTGTAAACTGTGCACGTTTTGAGGATGAGCAGTGTGTCACAGCCTACCAACACAAAGGTGAAATCTACTACAGGACTCACAAGGACATCAGTGCTGGCACAGAAATACTGGTAACTACCTTAGATCTACAGCTAACTTATGGAAGGGGGCAGCTTTTAATTGAATCATACATTTTAAATATTCTTCTGCATTTCGTGATTTAAAAAAAAAAAGCACTTCTTACATTTTTAGCGAAATCTGGTAAACTGGGCATTTTAATCTACCAGTGAACTGGGCAATCAGAATAATCTGATCATGTTAGGTACAAATGACTAGGCCAACATTATAAGCAGAAACTGTGGCATTGGTAGCTATTTGTAAAATTAATAAGAAAGACTTAGCTGTTTATTAGAATAAAAAAGCACATTTTTTTTTATCTCACTGGGTATGTTAATGCTTATTACTTCAGATTTTAAAACAAGCACAAACTTTATTTTAAACCTACTGAATGTAATATTAACAATATTCACTGCAGATTTTAAATTTTCTACTGCTTTTTTTAAATATTAAAACTAGCACAATCAATTATTCTTAGGTTACTGAATCTTTATGTCATAGAATTACTATTTCTGTCTTTGGTGTATGTGACAAGAAATCTCAGATGTCATGAAACTATGACGAAAATATAATATCAAATTAAAACAAGGACTGCTGGAAAAATTACACAAAAATAATGACATAATAGAGACACAAATTTGTGACTAATTCATTCATATAACATTAAAAGTTTTATTTTATAAATAGAAAAAGGCAAATATGACTAAAATGTTACAGCAAGGCAAAAAAATTAAAAGTGAACTTTGGTGACAGCTATATTTAAGTAGACTAGCATAGAAAAGTATTCTGACATTTTCAAGTGTTTTAGGGTGACAGCAATGTTTGAGTTGACTATTAAGAACTCTATTCTGGCAGTTTCAGGTGTACTATGGTGACAGCAATCATTGATTTGAGTAGTAATAGGTATTCTAAATGAAATTTTTATAATGAAATTAAATAAAATTGAACACTTCCACCTGATAGAGATTGCTTTCATCAGAACAGAAACACCAAATTTTGATATATCTCCATTTTTAAAAAAAAGTTATGAATTTTTTTAAACTCAAAAAATGAGTTCGCTTTTTGAATAGTAAAGGGTCTATTTGAGACCCCTACTAACTTCTAAAATAACTAAGTTAGAACTCTCAAATTTCTTGCACACACAGCCAGTAATACAAATAGAAAACCCAATTTTTTTCAAGGTAGTCAGACAGATATAAATAGAAAATTTATTCACATAAAAATGAGCCAAAGCACAATTTTACCAAATTTCAAAAAGGGAGACAAAAAGTCAATTTACGGTCATTTATTTAAAAATCATATAAAATCAACTAATTAAGCCACATTAATAGTATAAATAATCTAGTACTAAGGTGACAGCAATGTTTGATTTGACTAGTGAGATCAGTATTCTGACATTTTCAGGTGTGTTATGGTGACAGCAATGTTTGATTTGACTAGTGAGATCAGTATTCTGACATTTTTAGGTGTACTATGGTGACAGCTATGCCAGAGACCTGGGCATTCAGGTACAGAGGGTTGGTGGTGTAAACAAGAACAGTTTAACAAGCATGGCAAACAGTGACAGTGGTAAATACATTTACTCAGATCTTTAAACTGGGCCTTTTCATTTAGTACATACTTCTTCTAGTCCTTAATGTTAATCTAGTTGATTTTTATGTCTACTGTTAGTCACATATGTCAACGGTATCAGTTTGTTATCATGTGTCCATTGTATCAGAAATTCCTATGGTCATTTTATCTGTCATAACTGTGTCCACTGTATCAGTTAGTGAACAATGTGTCCACTTTATCAGTCATCACTGTGTTGACTGTATCAGTCAGTCATCACTGTGTCAAGTCACCAACACATTGTCTATTTTACTCCCTGTGTTGTGTGATTTCCTTTGCAGTCGTCACATTTATTTAGTAGAACAAATCTCTTCATACAGTAATAGTCCATTGTATCAACAAATATTAATGTCACAATGTATTCTCTTTAGCATCTTATTTGTAATTGTTTGTTGTTGTTTTTTTTAATTTTTATAAAAAACGGTTTTCAAATTAGTAAAAATAAATTTTTTCAGATACTTATTCATGTCAAGATTGCAGAATGGCTTTTACAAAACTTCCTTATTTGAAAGCACATTTGCAATACAGACATGGTGGGGATAGAATTGTCAACAGAAGCCCAGATCTCATTGATAATTCTAGTCAACTTTCTTCCCAGTCATCAAACTTTCATCAACACCATATCATTTATAGAGTAGATAAACCTTACAAATGTGACCAGTGTAATAAATGTTTTCTGAGGCGTGATACATTAAGAAAACATCTTAGAGTTCATACAGGAGAAAAGCCTTATAATTGTGGCAAATGTGGTAAATGTTTTACAACAGCTACATATATAAAGAAACACTTAAGAATTCATACAGGAGAAAAACCTTACATGTGTGTCAAATGTGGTAAATGTTTCACAGAAGATTCTAGTTTACGAACCCACCAAAGAATTCATACTGGAGAAAAACCTTATAAGTGTGAAAAATGTGGTAAATGTTTTACAGATTGTAGCACTTTCAGAAAACACCTTAGATATCATTCAAGAGAAAAGAGGTACAAGTGTGACAAATGTGGTAAATGTTTCAGCCAATCTTGGGATTTAGAGAGACACTTTAGAAATATTCATCCTGGAGACAAGAATTACAAGTGTGATGAATGTGGTAAATGTTTCATAGAAAGTAAAAGTTTACAAAGACATGTCAGAATTCATACAAGAGAAAAGCCTTTTCAGTGTGACAATTGTGGTTTATGTTTTTTAAAGAGTACCCAGTTAATCAAACACCTTAGAGTTCATTCAGGAGAAAAGCCTTTCAAGTGTGACAAATGTGGTAAAAGTTTCACAAACTCTTGGAATTTTAAACTACACCTTAAATCTTATACTGGAGAGAAGCCTTACAATTGTGACACATGTGGTAAAACGTTTAAAAGGCTTGATCAGTTAAAGAGACACTATTTGATACATACAGGAGAAAAATTATATATGTGTGACAACTGTGGTAAACGTTTCACATATAAAGTCAATTTACAAAACCACCAAAGGATTCATATGGAAAAACCTTACAAGTGTGACAAATGTGGTAAGTGTTTCGCAGAAGATGGCCAATTAAAAATACACCTTCTGTATCATTCAGGAGAAAAGCCATACAAGTGTGACAATTGTGGTCAATGTTTTATTCATGTTAATTACTTAAAGCAACACCTTAAAATTCATTTAGGAGAAAAGCCATATATGTGTGACAAATGTGGTAAATGTTTTTTTAAACTTAGCCAATTAAACAACCATCATACAATTCACACAGAAGAAAAACCTTACAAGTGTGACATGTGTGGTAAATGTTTCCATCAACCTTGTGGTTTACAAAGACACCATAGAATTCATACAGGAGAAAAGCCTTACAAGTGTGACACATGTGGTAAAGGTTTCATATATTCATCAGATTTAAAAGTACACTTGAGAATTCATACAAGAGAAAAGCCATATAAGTGTGACGAATGTGGTCAATGTTTTTTGAAGCTAAGCCAATTAAACAAACATCATATAATTCACATGGGAGAAAAACCTTACAAGTGTGACAAATGTGGTAAATGTTTCAAACTGAAAGGTGATTTACAAAGACACCATAGAACTCATACTGGAGAGAAGCCTTACAAGTGTGACATATGTGGTAAATGTTTTTCACAGTCGTATAATATACACAAACATAAAAAAATTCATACAGGAGAAAAGCCTTACATGTGTGATCAATGTGGTAATTGTTTTATCCAGCTTTGCATTTTACAGCAACACCTTAAGATTCATACAGGAGAAAAGCCATACATGTGTGATCAGTGTGGTAATTCTTTCACCCAGCTTTTCATTTTACATCGACACCTTAAGATTCATACAGGAAAAAAGCCGTATATGTGTGCCCAATGTGGTCAATCTTTCATGCTAATCTCACATTTACAGAACCACCATCGAAAACAAAATCAATCCACTTTAGAAAAATTTGATAATAGTGTTTTGAAGCTTTGCCAATTGAAAAAGGACCTAAAAATGCATACAGGAGAAAAGTCTTTTAAGTGTGATATATGTGGTAAATGTTTTGCTGAAATTCATGGATTACAGAGACACCTTAGAATTCATATAGAAGAAAACACATACAGGTGTAAGAAATGTGGTAAATGTTTTACAGAGTTTAGCCTATTGAAGATACACCGTACAGTTCATATAGAAGAAAAACCTTACATGTGTGACAAGTGTGGAAAATGTTTTCCAGCACATTATGGATTACAGATACACCTTAAAACTCATGCAGAAGAAAAGCCTTACAAGTGTGATGATTGTGGTCAATATTTCAAACAGCTCACACATTTAAAAAGCCACTATAGAGTCCATACAGGAGAAAAGCCTTACATGTGTAAGACATGTGGTAAATGTTTTAGAGTGAGTAATGGATTACGGCGCCACTTTAGGATTCATACAGGAGAAAAACCTTACATATGTAAGATATGTGGTAAATGTTTTACACTTCTTGGTCAATTGAAGAGACATCTTAGAATTCACCTAGTTGTAACCAGTGCATTAAAGGTTTAAACAAACAACACCATATAATTCACACTTGAGAAAAGCCTTATTAGTGGTAAATGGTACTTTCAAATGGTAGGCCTACATTACAGAACCACCATACAATTCACATTTGAGAAAAGCATTATTAAATGTTTCTTTTAAAGTACTATTTTACAGAACCACCTTAAAATTCACACAGGAGAAAAATCTTATAAGCGGTTAAATATTTCTTTCAAAGTACTTCATTACAGAACCACCTTAGAATTCACATCCTTACATGTGTAGGAAATGATGTAAATGTTTGAGAGAGTGTTGTCAATTGAGGAGACACCTTAGAATTAACAGGAGTAACACCTAATGTTAAAAAATTGTGCCAAAAGTTTTCAACAGACCTTTATTTTAATCTTTTTTATTCCAAGTATTACTTTACAAAACTAACTTAGGATTCATGAATGAGAAAAGCCTTACGAATGAGGTAATTGATGAATGTTTTGCATTAAGAGTTGTTTGAAAGAAACTGTTTTAACCATCATAGAACCTAATTATGAAATTGGTTCTTAGACATTTCTTTGATATGTGCCACACTTTTACTGTCTATTGAACAGCATTGTTCAATGGAGAATCTGTTATTGTTTAATATAGTTAAAATTTGAACTCTTTTAATTGAAATTTTAATTCTTGTTATCTGTTAACATTAATTTTTTCAAAATCAAGGGTTTTCTTTGATATTTTTTTAATAGACCCAGCTTGTCTGTATTTAAAACATCTGACCAATTTTGTCACATTGATGAAGTTTTAGAACAAGGCAGATGGGGTAATTAAGTTGTATGATTTTAATGATGGATGGCACCAATTGTAGTCACATTGACAGGGTTTTAGATGAAGGCAGAAGGGTAATTAAGTTGTCATCAGCTCCCTCCATGATATAAGATGTAAATAAACTCTAGATTAAGAAAACACCACCGAGAAGGATATTATACAGATGCAGTAGAGTGCATGAGATGACTTCAATTAGTCAAATGCAAACTTACTATCTATATTCAAAGTAGGCCTACAAAAATCTGTTTAGCTTTTTTTTTAGTTTAACATTTAATTTTTACTTTTTTAAAATTAGATTTTGGTTTCATGATCTATAATAAAATAAAATATAGATTCTAGATCTACTTAAATATTTGTCATTTTCAAAAAAATGTTGTCCTGTAAAGTATAATTAGGTAAGTAAATCTTTCATGTATTAAGCAGAGGTGCTTTGTCCACAGTGGGGTTGGACCAGAGGTGCTTTGTTCACAGAGGGGTTTGACCAGAGGTGCTTGGCTCCAAGTGGGGGTTTGACCAGAGGTGCTTTGTCCACAGTGGGGTTTGACCAGAGGTGCTTTGTCCACAATGGGGTTTGACCACAGATGCTTGGCTACAAGTGGGGGTTTGGCCAGAGGTGCGTTGTTCAAAGTGGGGGTTTGACCGGAGGTGCTTTGTTCAAAGTGGGGGTTTGACCAGTGGTGCTTTGTTCACAATGAGGTTTGACCAGATGTGCTTTGTCCACAGTGGGTTTTGATCAAAGGTGCTTTATGTAATAGATGCTTAGTCAACATGTGGTTTTCACATGAATAACAAAAAAGTGCTAAGTATTGAAATTTTTATTTTTTATATGACAAGTTTCCTTTTAGTTGCCAAAATTTTTTTTTAAAAAGTTCTTTGCATTCAAGAAATAAAAATCACCAACTGCTTGTTTTCAGCCACAGGTCTACTAGATGTATTATTTAACAGAAAATTAACATAAGTAGGGCAGCATGTCCTTTTCTTAAATTAAGGCTGTAGACTGTAGATCTATTAGCAAGCATGTTAACTGTACATCTCATTTGGTACGAGGCTGTATAAAGCAGCTGAGTTCATAAAATAGGAAAAATAGCAAAGGTTTCATGAATACGCTGTTTGCTAATCAAAGCTGATGTTTTCTTTCTGTGAATGTTGAATTTTGTTAAGTGTTTGTTTTAAGGTGGGTGTGAATGGGTTGCTGCTGAATATCCGAGTTAAATGCCTGTTTGAGCCTGATAGTCCGGGTGAAGTAGAGTCCACTTGTTTCATTGACAAATGAAGGAATAACAATGGTCAGTACTATGCCCAGCTGCTTTTACTTTCTCTTATATGAGTCAGGTAGGGCCTACTCATCAGAGCTGGGTGGACAGGGATGGTTAACGGACACGAACCCAGGAATCGAATTCAAGACTTATTTTAGCTGTCATAGGCTCTACTGTCCGAGGATGCTGTACCGTTGGTAGCCTAGGTCTGGTCTGGTAGCTTGATGTCTTTATGTTAAATATGTTTGTGGAATGGTCATTTCCTTGACCACTGAGAATGTCCTGGTAGTGTTTGCTGATAATGAAAAATTACAAATTACACTTTTATTACGTAATTCTAAATTGAGCTTTTGGTTTAATATAACTTGAACTTTTCATATAGAAAAAATAAGTTGAGCTATTCCTCCATCGTCTACTAACATTAATCCCAACCCAGTACACGAACTCAAAAGACTACCCAACAACAATAACTTAAAAGCCAAATAGAACAGGTGAACTCAACTTTGTTTACGCTCTGGACCATCTGGTTCATAAGGGAGTTTTACTTATAACATTAACAGGTTATTCACGAACGCACATTTTATATATATATATATATATATATATATATATATATATATATATATATATATATATATTGATTTTTTCTGACGAGGAAGGTGTTTTTGTTTCACTTTTTTTCTTATTGAGGGGGGGGGGGGGGGAGGTCCGCGTACTTCAATTTTGGAGGGGTGACACATGTAAATGTATTTAATTTCTGTATAAAAAAAAATTGTTTTTCTCTTTCGGAGGGGGAGTGGACATGCTTTGGGTGTGCAGCCCCTCTCCCCTTCCATCCCCCGAAAAGATGCGTGAAAAAACTGTTGTTTTGCCCGATTACAAAAATATAAACCTACTTGCTTCATCTGTATAGGGTCTAACGTATGCGAGTGAGTATTTAGTATTACGATATGGATCTATAGATGGTAAAAGCAGACTGTTTATTAAATTTTTTTAAAATCGTGTACGATGCTTTTAAAACAAATTTAGTTTTAAAAACATTTTTTAGAAAAATTTATTACTGAAAATGTAACAAACGTGGTAGAACTATGTCACGTGGTAAAGCAAATCCTTTTATTTAATTTATATATTTTTCGTCAAAGTTTTGAGTACTACATTAATACAATGTGGAGTTTCTGTACAGCCAATTAATGCATGTCTTACGAACGTGAAACCGCTGATTAAAATATTAAATAGAAGAAATTAATGTAGTCTTATTTGCAAAAATTCTCTGCATCTACAACTTTTATTAATTTTAAAAATTTTAATTGTCGGAAATTGTTTCTAGCTAAATTTCTTTTTAATTTCGGTCGCTATGACGCAAAATCGAAGAAGAAGAAGAAGAAAAAAACGTTTTTTTAACCATGTCAACAATAATAAAAGGAATCCAATCCATCTCGTCAAACTCTGCTGCCTTTTTGATTGGTTAGCTCTCAGAAAACAAGTTATTTTTACAAAAAATCGAGTCTATAAAATCACATAACCGATATGGTAACAAACGCTAGTTTGAATTTTAATCAGTATAGATCTATTTTATATCTGCTTGATAATTTAAGATTTTTATTGGTAGAAAATCCAACAGGGCGTAGAACGAAATGTAGATCTAATATCTTTTTTTTTTAAATGGCTGAAATATTGTATTTTTAAATATCGATACCTAATGGAATCGGTCATCCAGCTTTCAAAAGTTCCGGTATATTCATCAGTACAAGTCCTGACAAGTTCTCCTGAGCTGTTCAAAATCCAATAATAATTACAATTTGTATGCATGCTATAGAAATCTAGATCTTAATCTAGAAGCAAGTATACTCCAGATATGAGGTTTTAGCCTTGATCTAAAACAATCGGAATATTGAATAGAGTTAGTTTTAGATCTAGATATAAATTATAAATAATTTGTTTGCCTTGCTTGCAATTTTTTTTTATTTTGGTGATCTCCCTTCTCTTTCACTCTTTCTCTTGTGTAATGACTCAAGGAGTCATCAAGTGTACTGTGCTGTATGTGTTTTTTTTAGTTAAGTATTACTGTTAAGTGTTATAATTTTATTATTTTTAAGGCATTTAAGGAATTAAAAATAATCTAATCTGTATTTATATTGGTACTACTAGGCATGCTGCCCAGCTTCGCTTAGGCTTTCGAAAACATTGAGAATTTGAATGCTTAATTAGTTCGCCTGAGGGTCGGTCTACGACCTCAGGAGTTATGAAGAGGTTCCTCAGGGACATTTTTTTTCGATTTAGAGCTCATATAAGGCGCCGGTCAGTTTTGACCCCCTCATCGTAGACTTTTCAGCCAACCAGCCCCCGTGTTCTGTCGCCCCAAGGCAAGATCCTGCCAAATTTGAAGCGCCTACTTTGTTTTATATATTATAGAGATTAGCAAATTGCATAGATAAACAAAGATTTCAATAAAGTAATTAAGGCCTGAAATACTTTAGTACAGAAATGTATTATTTGAATAGATTCTAGATCTAGGTAGGGTCTACATCTGTGTAAGTCTATTTTTTTCCGTAGATCTAGATAATCTAGATCTAGAATATCTAGATCTAGAATATCTAGATTAAGAATCCTAATAGAAATTTTTTTTAACTTTAGCCCGAGCAAAATTGTATTGCATAAATTTCATAGCGTACGTAGATCTAAATAATATTTGAATGAAATAGTTCATTTCTTTTTATTCTAAACTCGGAAGATGACGTCATCAGTTTCGTGCTCTTTTTTTAGTGTAAACAATAAGCGACGTCATTGTTAAATGCGTTCTTGTCCCAAGTCTAAACACTTTTCCGGTTGCATAATTAAAATTGTTTTTCTACATTCGAATACGCGTTTATTTTTTATTTTTCTTCTTTAAATAAAATTGTGGTTATACATTTAAAACATCTAACATATTATTTTCAACAAAAGTCTGGATAAATTTTTTCATAAATCGCTGCAGTTTCTGGTGTGATGTCCAGCGAAGATATTTTGCAGACAGAGAGAGAAGTTCGCCAATGGGCCATTATATATTAGGATTATTATTATGATTATCTATCTTAATCTAGAAGTTGATCCAGAATAATTATTTTTTTTAGAATCTAGATACAAGTAATGCTTGCTAACCTGGAGGCTGGAACGGTTGCTAACAACAATATGACGTCTACAATGGACATATTACTTCCTACGATTATTTTGTCTAAGTTTCAGCATAATACTCTCGCACCAAATCGTCTACCGTCAAGTTCATACTTTCCTCAGTAACCTCTACTAGTCTAGTCTAATTCTATATACTATATATCTATGCTATGACATCTCCTCCCTACAATTAAAAAACTAATACAATTAGTTTTAAAAAACGAATATAATTAGTTGTTTTTTTTTCTGTCTTCTTAGTCAATCACCGTACAAATACAGAGTCATAGCATCATTACCTGAATATTTCAAAACAAAAATTCCAGCATTTAAATTTTTAAAACAACAATAATGTCATGCTGTATCCTGATCTGTCAGAAGAGAACTTTATCATCTGTATTGACAGTTCTACAAAATGTACACCACTCAATGAATCTTTATCATCTGCATAAACAGTTTTACAAAATGTACACCACTCAATGAATCTTTATCATCTGCATAAACAGTTTTACAAAATGTACACCACTCAATGAATCTTTATCATCTGCATAAACAGTTCTACAAAATGTACACCACTCGATGAATCTTTAAGTTTATCATCTGCATAAACAGTTTTACAAAATGTACACCACTCGATGAATCTTTATCATCTGCATAAACAGTTTTACAAAATGTACACTACTCGATGAATCTTTATCATCTGTATAGACAGTTTTCCTTGTTATACCTGACGTCAAAATGTTCCCTCAAGCTTTATAAATACAAAAAACTAGACAATACTGTAAATGAAAAACAAATAATTATTAGCTGAAGTTGCCATTACGACTTGTTCGAGAAATTGACCGCGACCGTGTGTAAGGCTTCTGTTATCTGGTTATGATGACCCTTCTTGCCGTTACGACTTGGTCTAAAAATTGACCGCAATCATACATAAGGCTTCTGTTATCTGGTTACGATTACCCATCTCAAATTGACTTGGTTCCTCTAGATGTGTTACTTGGCGTGTTCCTGCGGACGTTCCTTGACGATGCGCTTTATATATGTTCACGTTCATGATGAACTGTTGGTTAGGCCGCTGAATTCACTTACGTTGTTCATCAGGGCGTAGCATTCACATGATAACAGATTCTGAGAAAATATGAGCGGACATGTCTTAAACATATGCCAGTAAAGCGCTTTTGTGCCTGTCTGACAAATAACCTTTCTCTTTTAAAAGAAAACCCATCAAAATTTGAAATGCTGGTTATTTGTCCACGACACGCTACATAATAACAATAGCTGTAACTACATTATTATAATTGGCAACAAAATACTAACTACATTATTAAAATTTAAATCATTAACTACACAAAACTAGCATTCGAATAGAAAGAGATCTGATACCAATAAAGAAAAGACATGTGTTGTATTGTGTGTCACATATCTGTAGTGCAGGAGCATCTCTCTGCCTGTGACTGTAGACTGTAAAAAATCATAAGTATTCAACCTCCAATGGAAACTTTAGAAATTCTTTGCTTTATGGCTATAATGGAGCACCTCTCATTATTCCATATTGATAACAACTTATTCTTTCTGCAACATCTACATTGTCTTTTTATCAACATAACAAGATGCTGTGGTGTTTTACAAAGTGAGTTGACATAACCGGTGGTTCAGGCGGGGTCACGTTGGTTTGTGGGCTTATTGTGAAATAACATAAGCCTCCATAATATTGGTTTCTGTTCTGTCTTTCTTCCTTCTGCCATCTGCAGTTATCTTTCGGGTAGGTAAAATGATTGACTGCTTGCTTGCGTTAATAGTTTTTTTTTTCTACACAAAGTGAGAAACCAAGTAAAATTTTTTTTATATTTCTTATAATTAGGCCTACTAGTATAGAACAGTATTCTGACATTTTCAGGTGTACTGTGGTGACAGCTGTGCCATAGAACTGGGAACTCAGATACAGAGGGTTGAAGTTACAAGCAAGAGTTGTTTAACAAACATGGAGAATAATCAAGGTGATAATTAGCAACTTCATTTAGTGCATTTATCTCCTAGTCCTTATAGCTGTTGTAGATGGTGTTCATGTCCAGTGTTGTATCAGCATCATCACTTGTTACACTTTTTCCATTAGTACCTACTAAATCAGTCATCAATGTGTCCACTGAATCAGGCATCACTGTGTCCACTGTATCCATTAGTCACCATTGTGTCCACTGAAATATGTAATGTTAAAGAAATATTTGTTGTTAGATTTTTGGAGAGATAATTCATTGATGAAAAACCATTTAATTCAAGTAAAATAAATTATTTACATAATTAGCAATTTCATTTAGTACATATATCTCTTAGTCCTTACTATTGATGTCGTTGATTTTCATGTCCACTGTTGAATAAGTCAGTCACATTTCAACTGTATCAGCCCTCACTTTTTCCACTGTATAAGTTAATCATCACTGTATCAGTTAGTCATCAATGTGTCTACTATATCAATCACCATTGTGTCCACTGTATTAGTCATCACTGTGTCCACAGCAGCAGTTAGTTATAACTATGTTGGCTGTATCAACAGATATCAGTGTTACTATTTTATTCTATAAAGTTGTCTTTAAATTGTATGAAAACAAATAAATAAAATTGTATTACAGATATCTATCCATGTCAACATTGCAGTATGGCTTTTTCAAAAGTTTCTTATTTGAAAGCACATTTGCAATACAAACATGGTCAAGATAGAGCTGTCAATAGGAGTGTGGATGCCATTGATAATACAAGTCAACTTTCTTCCCATGCATCAAACTTTTATCAATACCATGTCATGTGTATAAAAGAAAATCCTCACAAATGTGACCAGTGTAATAACTGTTTTCTGAACCATGCTTCATTAAGAAAACATCTTAGAGTTCATATAGGAGAAAAGCCTTATAATTGTGGCAAATGTGGTAAATGTTTTACAACGGTTTCACATTTAAAGAGACACTTAAGAATTCATACTGGAGAAAAACCTTACAAGTGTGACAAATGTGGTAAATGTTTCACTCAGGATGCTAGTTTACGAATCCACCAAAGAATTCATACTGGAGAAAAACCTTATAAGTGTGAAAAATGCGGTAAGTGTTTTAAAGAAAGTGGTTCTTTAATAATACACAATAGATCTCATTCAGGAGAAAAGCCATACAAGTGTATGAAATGTGGTAAATGTTTCATTGATGATAGCCATTTAAAGAAACACTTTAAAACTCATACAGGAGAAAGGCCTTACAAGTGTGACAAATGTGGTAAATGTTTCTCAAGGGTTGGGAATTTTAAGAGACACTATAGAATCCATACAGGAGAAAAGCCGTACAAGTGTGCTGAATGTGGGAAGAGTTTTATAGAAGGGACAAGTTTAAAGACACACCTTAGCATTCATACAAGCAAAAAACCCTACCAGTGTGACGAATGTGGTCAATGTTTTTTAAAGCTGAGCCACTTAAAGAAACACTTTATAATTCATACAGAAGACAAGCCTTACATGTGTGAGAAATGTGGTAAAAATTTTCACAAGTTTTGGGATTTACAGAGACACAGTTCTAGAATTCATAGTAGAACAAAACCTTATAAATGTGACAAATGTGATAGAAGTTTCACACTCCTTTGTGATGTACAAAAACACCTTGTAATTCATACAGGGGAAAATCCTCACAAGTGTGACAAATGTGATAAATGTTATTTGAAGGTTAGCTCCTTGAAAAAACATCAAGTAGCTCATACAAGAGAAAGAACTCTTAAGAAGTGTGACACTTGTGGTAGATGTTTTAAACAGAATGGTTATTTACAGAGACACCTTAGTGTTCACACAGGAGAAAAGCCTTATAAGTGTAACAAATGTGGTAAATGTTTCAGACTTAATGTTACTTTAAAGATACACAATATAATTCATACAGGAAAAAAGCCATATATGTGTGATCACTGTGGTAATTGTTTCACCCAGCTTTGCATTTTAATGAGGCACCTTAGAGTTCATACAGGAGAAAAGCCTTACATGTGTAACAATTGTGGTAAATCCTTTAAACAGATTGCACATTTGATAAGCCATCACAGAGTTCATACAGGAGAAAAGCCTTACATGTGTAAGACATGTGGTAAAAGTTTTAGAGTGAGTAATGGATTACAGAGCCACTTTAGGATTCATATAGGAGAAAAGCCTTATATGTGTAAGACATGTGGTAACTGTTTTTCAAGGCTTTATCACTTGAAGAGACATCTTAGAATTCACCTAGGTGTGACTAGTGCAGTACATGTTTTTAACAGACAACATACAATTCACACTGGAGAAAAGCTTTATTAAATGTATCTTTTAAAGTACTATGTTACAGAGCAACCTTAAAATTCACACAGGAGAAAAGTCTTATAAGTGGGTAAATTTTTCTTTCAAAGTAGGCCTACTACTTTACAGAACCATCTTAGAATTCACATCCTTACATGTGTAGGAATTTCGGTAAATGTTCTTCATACAGGAGAAACACCTAATGTTTGACAAGTGTTTTAAGTTGTTTTTTTTTTTTAATTTTTTATTCCAAGTGTTACTTTACAAAACTACCTTAGAATTCATGAAGGAGAAAAGCCTTACAAATGAGGTAATTGGTGAATGTTTTGCACCAAGAGTTGTTTGAAAGAAACTGTTTTAACCATCAAAGAACCTAATTATGAAATTGGTTCTTAGACATTTCTTTGAGATGTGCCACACTTTAAGTGTCTTTTGTTCAATGGATGGCCTCTTTTTGTTACATATTGTTAAACTTTGAATTCTTTTAATTGAAATTTTAATTCTTGTTATCTCTTAACATTAAATATTTCAGTATCAAGGATTTCTTTGATATTTTTTTTTAATAGACCCAGCTTGTCTGTATTTACAATATCTGACCAACTTTGTCACATTGATGAAGTTTTAGATCAAGGCAGAAGGGTATTTATATTGTATGATTTTAATAGAGAAGATGGATGACACCAATTTTAGTCACATTGACACTATTGACAGGTTTTTAGTTCAAATTAGTTCACGGCAGAAGGGTAATTAAGTTGTATGATTTTAATTAGAGGTGGTGGGTGATGCCAACTTTAGTCACACTGATGAAGTTTTAGATCAAGGCAGAAGGGTAAGTAAGTTGTTATCTGGCTCCCTCGATGATACAAGATTAAAATCTAGATAACACCACCTAGAACGATGTTATACAGACGCAGTAGAAGAGTGCTCAAGATGACACTAATTAGTCAAAAGCAAATTTACTGTCTACATCTAGAAATATTCAAAACACTTTTTGCATAAAAAAAATCTGTTTAGCATTTTTTTAGTTTTAACATTTATTTTACTTTTTATAAATTAGATTTTGGTTTCATTAGCTATAACTACTATAAGAAAATAAAATATAGATCTTCTTAAGAATTTGTCATTTTCAAAATTGTTTTGTCCTGTAGAATATAATTATGTACGTAAATCTTTCATGCAGAGGTGCTTTGTTCACTATGGTGTTTGACCAGAGGTGCTTTGTGCAATAGATGCTTAGTCAACGTGTGGTTTTAACATGAGTAACAAAAAAGTGCTCAGTATTGAAATTTTTATTTTTTATATGACAAGTTTCCTTTTAGTTGCCAAAATTTTTTTTTAAAAAGTACTTTGCATTCAAGAAATAAAAATCACCAACTGCTTGTTTTCAGCCACAGGTCTACTAGATGTATTATTTAACAGAAAATTAACATAAGTAGGGCAGCATGTCCTTTTCTTAAATTAAGCAAGCATGTTAACTGTACATCTTATTTGGTACGTGGCTGTATAAAGCAGCTGAGTTCATAAAATAGGAAAAATAGCAAAGGTTTCATGAATACGCTGTTTGCTAATCAAAGCTGATGTTTTCTTTCTGTGAATGTTGAAGAATTTTGTTAAGTGTTTGTTTTAGGGTGGGTGTGAATGGGTTGCTGCTGAATATCCGAGTTAAATGCCTGTTTGAGCCTGATAGTCCGGGTGAAGTAGAGTCCACTTGTTTCATTGACAAATGAAGGAATAACAATGGTCAGTACTATGCCCAGCTGCTTTTACTTTCTCTTATATGAGTCAGGTAGGGCCTACTCATCAGAGCTTGGTGGACAGGGATGGTTAACGGACACAAACCCAGGAATCGAATTCAGGACTTATTAAGTTATTTTAGCTGTCAAATGCTCTACTGTCATTTATCTATTCTATATGAAATATTAGTCAAGTTATAGGCTTTTAAAAAATTCAAAGTAGAAAAAGTTCCACTTCCGGTTATAGGAAATCGCTCAAAAGTTGATACGGATCTACGATTTTTATAAAATACTTATAAATGAAATTTCATCAACCTAGCTGTAACGGTACTCAAGTAATCGTGTTTACACACAGACACACACATACAGTCATACGGACAATATTGCAAAATTATGTTTTTCCGACTCAGGGAGGTGCACGATTACAATACTTTCTCTATACTTCGTATATACGAGAAAGTAAAAAAAAAAGATTTTTTTTACTTTCTCCCACGGGCTTATTTTGTAATTCTGCACACTGAGCGGCAAAGTATCTAACCAAGTTGGTTGGATAAAATGATAATAGTAAGTAGGCCCCTAGGCCTAGGCCTATCTGTAGTTTGTCTACAACATGGACTAAGTTATCCAAACAGATTTTTAAGTATTTAAAAATAGCAAAAGACGTTTGTTGAAATTAGATTCTGTAAGCTTTGTCTAGACTTGTGTTAGTTAGGTCTAGATCTAGTTTGAATATAAATAGTCTGGAATAGGCTAATCTGCGATCCTAGCCTAAGCCTAGGTTTATTATTTGCATCACGTGACAAATTTAGCCAATAAGTTTTGTGCAAGTAGTGTTGTACATTCTGTGTAATACGGTCGATCACTTATCTCTGGGCATAGTGTTGTTACACCAAAATTTCATAATTTGGTGGGTCTATGTTGATTCAAGCATGGGATGAACCCAAGCATGTTAATAAAGACGGTAATCTATCGTTTTAGCGTAATCAATTCGGCTGCAATAGTAATGTGCGGGAGAGGTAGCTGATGAATATATTTGTTTAAATAAGTTTATTTAAGTCAAATTTTACAAAATATCACAGATAATTGATTTAAAATAACAAACAGTGACCAAAACAATTTAAATAACATGAAACTAACTTTAAACTAGGTGTTTGAGATAAATATTAGTAGAAAAAAAACAGCGGCCATCTTTCCAAATAAAATTTAGAGTAGTTTCCCTGGATAAAAATGTCTATTCGTATGTATATTGTGTTGACTTTGTTGTTTAATACACATACCTGTCTTGTTTAATATAAGTAAGACAGAGGGCCGTCTTCTTATCTTTAATTTCATTTTCAAGTGAAATGAAGGCTATGTATGTATGTACATCCAAGATCTCAAAAAATTTTGGGAGGTCCAACATTTACTAAACCCTTTTGTACTGATTAGGGGTCGTCCATAAATGACGTCACAATCGTAGGGGGGAGGGGGGGGGGTCGGTAATTTTGTGACGATGTGTGATGACGGGGAGGGGGGGGGAGGTAAAAATCGTATTAAAAAAGCGTGACGTCATTTATGGATGACCCCTTAACTTGTCAATTATTAGGTCGTCCATATTCCTCATAAATGACGTTGGACTCAAAATATGGGACGGTGTAAAATATTTTTTTCAAAAATGATGAAGAATATATTCGTTTTCGTTAGAAATTGTGATTAAGGGTTCGGGTATAGTAGAACTGCGATATGATATTAAATCATCATCTTGCTTTTAGTAACTATTGGGTGAGAGGGAAATTGTCGGGAAAAGTATGACGTCATTTATGGGCGATCCATTTAATTAAGCCTAGTTGTTTATTTTGTCTGTAGACATTAGTCTTAGGCCTACACTTCTTCTGAATTAAGATTATTGTGTTTTTTAAAATAGGTTCAAATTTTAATTAGTTACAATTGAATACCACATGGTTTGTTGTTTTTTTTCTTTGCCTTCTGCTGTCATCAGTTTTTTATTTCTTCAGTAGTCAATGTTTACCCCTCCCCACCATCCATTATTAAAAAAAAAACACCCACTATATATGTCATAGCGTAGATATATAGAATTAGACTAGACGAGTAGAGGTTACTAAGGACGGTACGAACTTGACGGTAGACGATTTGGTGCGAGAGTATTGTGCGCGTGTTCAATAAAATATGTGTGGCGTGAGTGTGACGTGAGCATGGTGCGACAATGTACCGATGACGTAAGACGCAGCAGTGAAGTTAGTTGGGGGTTAGATATAGTAGAAGACGGATGTATTATTTGATATTGGGAAAATGATCTATAAGTGTGTGTTAATTAAGTTCATGTTATTTCATAAACTAAGTTGTTGACATTGTTAATTAGTGTCTGCGGAACATAAGAGTAATTCCCGTCCTCCTCACGAGTATAATAGTTGCCGTATGAATAGTAGTAGATCAGAATATATTGAGATTATATATAAATCGCCCATCACAATATAGTGATATCCCACTCTAGAAAAAAAAAACTAGATCAACGTATAGTTCGTAGGAAAATTAGAATCTATCACTTATTCGTCTGTTAAAAAAAAAAAGAAATACGTCATTTTTCTCAACCACGCCGTTTCATCCCCCACTAAGCACAACGTCACAAAGTTCGCGGCGCGCGTGACGTCATTTGTCATTAGGCTAATGTTTAAGAAAGATACCGCGTAATTAAAAGAAAATCAAAACAGGCCCTAAATCACTATGGCGATGAGACTTTAACGACGTTTAGCCTGACGAATAGATCTAAATAACTTTAGTTCGGTGAATTATATTGGTGTTTAATTTATTACAGTGGCATGATGTTCTCCCTCTATTATACAAATTCACGTGCTTTTAATTTCTGCAACCTGCTGCCTTGAGACGTTCGGCTCTAAAATGCCCGTGACACAGCGGCTTCGGTAAATGCATTTAGGCTCCCGGTCCCACCTATAAACGTCTGTCCATTAAGCTCCACGCAAAACGTGTGATTAATATGTGGACATAAGCGGCGCTAGTGGTGGTGTCAACAGGGGCCAAGCTTAGGTCTTAAAGGTGCTCCGCACTTCATAAAAGACAAAATTGATGTTCAGATATCGTCGGACTCTGGCGTTTTGCCGACGGCCGTACTCCTAATGCACAGTCTTAGAGGCTGTCCACTGCTAACACTATTTTATGTTAAATTCAAGCCTATACTATGAGCTGTGGCTTTACATTAGCTCAGTGGCGTAGCGAGGTCGAGTGTCACCCGGTGCGGCACTTAATGGTGTCACCCCCCAGAGGCGACAAACTTTCAATTTTCGATTTGTCCCATTTTACCTGCTAGTCAATACTTGTCGAATATTGTTGACAGGAGCTACTTGGTTTGAGCCTTGTTGTCAGAAGTTATTTCATTTGGAGTCAATATAGTGCGGCCTATTTTCGTCGGTAGGCATTTAGTGGCAGGCCCTTTTTGGCGGGGATGATGTGCTGAGGTTGTTTAACACCGCTTAGTACAACAGGCATGCAATAGTTATGAACAAATGTATGCATGAAAACGAACGCTTTATGTTCCTCATTTTCACTGAGCACAGCTTTATAGAAGATTCCAAAATAGACGTAACGCATCCCCCCCCCCGACCACCCTGCGTAAGTTGACGTCACATTACCATTGCATATGTGACATCGTTTATGGGCAACCCCATATAACTCATTTTGGGTATTTGGTATCAACATTTTGACAACAAAGGTTATTCAAAATGTATATAGGACTTGACATCTACCCTAAATGACATCGCACACTTAAGGGGTGGAGTAACTGGTTTTGAGACGACGTTTTACGCGGGAAGTGGGAGGGGTAAGAAACGTGAAACGTTATGTATTTCGCCTAATACAAAAATGCTAAAAATATTTTTCATTAGAATTATGGCTTGACTTTTCAATAGACATGGCAAAAAGGTAATTTTCGACATTACGACTATTTCGTGACGGCAAAAATGGGGGTGGTGGGGGGGGGGGGGGGTTAAGGTGAAGAGAGGTCAAAAAACGGGACGTCATTTGTGATTAAATCACTAATTAAAGGAAAAAAGCATGAAAATATTAAATGAAAATAGGAAGCAAACAATAACACAAACAATAAGAATGAACTCAAACTAATATTTAAATAAACATTAGATATGTAGTGGTAGCTCTATAAAAATAGGGAGTATCTTAATGTATAAAAATTGCATCTCATAATAATAATTATAGAACTG